TTTCAATGATTGAAAAAATATCAACATCAAATTCGAAATTCATCAATATGCGCTAAAAGGTTATTAATATATGAGGCCATCATAACTAGGCCTTTTCTAAATGGTTTGTAATTAAGATTAGCATGCAATCGTCTACAGTCAATGTAATTCTAGATGACCTTCAACAAGGCCAGTTGGTAAACTCGGAAGCGATTCGGGCTTTATCGGGGACGATTTCTCACATAACATCGGTGATTTCGCATTTCCAGAGCTTTATGGATAAAGATAAAGGCGGCCAAGACGATTTAAACTCGGCAGCGCCTCCGAATGAAGCGAGCGAACAAATTAAATATATTAACCAAGATAACATTAATGATGCAACAATTGTGAAGCCTTTTGTCTTGAACGATTCCGCAAATCCTAATATGAACAATGGGCCGGAATCTGTTAACGATCTCACTAATCAAGAACCCATTGTTATTGATGATTCATGCGAATATACTAATGATAGCCTTGTTGTCGTGAAATTAAGCGAGAACGAACAGTTAAAACCTAATAATGATACAACAAGTGCTGAGCTGACTTCATCGCAAGAATGTAAATTAACTTACGCAAACTGGAAATTTAAACTTCCCATTATTAATACGAATAGGTTATTGAACTCTTTTATCCCAAATTATGCGAAAAAATCAAAACTTTAAGCATATTAGTATAGTCTTAGTATTAATACTTTATCGTAGCGGAACATTTTACAGTAATCTTAAATTTAATAGAATTTTATAGCAACATGTTGTAAATATAGTAAACATATTCCATATTTTATCTAAAATTCTTTGCCTGTAAATTCAATTGCAATTCAGTCGTAAGACTGCAAAAATTGATCAATTAAACATTAACATTAACATTAGCACACTTACGATTTACACCCGGTAGAACAGATTCAGACTCCAGCACAGCAGATTGATTATTACTTAATGTCGACGCGTTCGGTTCTTGGTTGCTGTGGCATAAGAGCCCTCAGCAGTTCTCCCAATTGTTGTAGATGCTTCAGAAAATCCCGAACACTTTTTCGCGGGTTTTTTCCATTTCTCAAAAACTTGATGAAGTAGACAGCTAATAATGTTGAACCGGTTACGTTAAGGTGCAATTTCGAGCCGTTGAGCCTTGTTGCATCTAGATTATTGTTATCGATAAAGAGATAGCTCTGTTTCAGGCACAGTTCCTTCAATAACTATTCGTTTCGTCGATTTTTAACTTTAGATCACTGTCCTCACTGTTGATAATGCTGGATATAGCAACTTTGACGTCCTTGAACTTGTTCTTTATTGTGCTGATTGAAGTGCTTGATGTTTTTACAGCATCTTCTAAGACTACAATAGCATAAGACGTATTTTCTTTGTGCTCGTTTATAATTTTTTCGGCTAGGGAATCTATTTTCTTTGTAATATTCTGGGTATAACATTCAAACTTTGAGTTTATTTCATAAAATTCCGTACTAGTCAAGTCATTTTCCTTTATTTGGGACACGTCAAGGGTTGAGCTTTCGCTTCGTGATGTCGTATTGGAAATTTGCATCAAATGACTGTTGGATACAACTCAAATTTGTAACCTTTGGACTTTCTCGGCTAACAACGGTTTCGTTTCTTGATTTACTGTCAAACATTAGGAGCTTTTCCTTAACTTCTTCAGCTTTATCTCACTTCACTGTTAAGGTTCCGTTGTTTGCGTACCAACGTTTCGAAACTTCTTTACTTTCAAATTGTTTACAGAGACCACTCGGGCACGACCAAGTTCCTGAATCTTATTGTAGACGGCTAATAAGTGATCGTAGGTCCTCCAAGTTTCCCTGCCACTTCAGAGGACTCCCTTGTCTGTAATTATGATGTTTCATACTGGCCATCATTTCCCTTAGCAAAACTCGACAGCTTTGTGGCGTTGTTATTCGAATTCGTCTCATTGTCGAACTGAAATAACTGTTGACCAGTGCAGCGAATTTCGTCTTGATTTTGATCCAGTTTTGAGCCACTCGGATCAAATGATGTTGATTTTGACATTTGACTGTAGCCTTTATGACTTATACTCAACAAATGTACGAAAATGTGTTACGAATCGTTATTAAAGTTATACTTAGCCGGGCTCTTGAATGGACGTCCACCTTCGACCAAGGTCAATGACAATGTTATTCAATGTGTACCAAAAAAACGCAACCACTTAAATATGCAAGAATATTAATATTGTTCGGGTTTGCACCATAGTTCAGCTAAAATGACTTTTAGCATTGCAAATGAAGGATTAAGAGCCGATTTCAATTCCCAGAGGTGCTTATCTATTGTGCTTTAGAGCTGTATTAATGTTCTGCATATTTAAGTGGTTGCTTTTTTTTGGGGACACCCTGTATACCCATGCAAACTTTATATTTTTTTCTTGACTTGTGTGGAAAAAGAATTAATCGAATTAAATTCTGGGTAATGTAAATCTTTTGAGTTTGCATTGGTCTATGTTGTGTTCGAAATAGCAAACATTAATGTTAATAGGTAAACCATTCCCCCAGTAAGTGTACAGTACTATTCATCTCATCATAAATCGACATGGTCTGATGGACGGAAGTGCTGAGTGGGTTCTGATACAAAGGAATCAGTGGCAAGGCCAGCCTCACGATCATGCTATGCAAATTTTATGTTATTATCATTATTCATTCCTTTAGAAAATCATTGTTTTCACAGTTAGTAAACAACAAAATATTATAGCATAGCACGACCAGATTATCGGGCTGCCTACACCATTCAAAGGAATAAGATGTTTGCTGCAAAAAGTATAAATTAAAAGTGGCTGTTAAAGCCGAGTTCAGTCCGGACCATTTGAACTTCCGAGGTTTTAAAACACATCCTGACGTTTATTAAAGCATGCTTTTCTTCATGCTTGAATTTTCGTGATATTTGAGAGTTCTGGACATGGGGTTTCAACATGCTTCTAATCGTCTTCCACATACTGAAAACACAGTTAAAGATTCTTTTCGCAACACTGGAAAATTCAGGATGGCATATCCCCACAATTTTCTTAAGAATCTGAAAACCATCATTGGGATAATGAAATGGAGTCCAAACTTTTTTTCACTATTATTTTTTTTTTTTTAAATTACCCAGCCTCAGTTTTCCTGTCATGAAAAAATATTCTTTTAACTAAAATATTAAATTCCGTCAGAAGGTCCCGACCATGTGATCTTTCGAAGTTTTAAAGCGCATCCTGGCGTTGATTAAGGCATGCTTTTCTTCAAGCTTGACTTTTCGTGATATATGAGATTTCCATGCAATAAAATACCTTTGATGAGTTTCAAAACACTTATGCTGAAAAAATAGTTAAAGATTATTTTCGGAATATCAAAAACGATTATACGCACTTTGAAACGCATCAAAATGTTTTACCGGAACCATAATATGTCAGGAAAACCCAAGCATGAAGCAAGCCATGCTTTAATCAACGTCAGGACGTGTTTTACGACTTCGGAAGAGAAAAGAGTCGGGCATTTTAAGCGCAATTTTTTTTCAGAACATAATATTTTCCATTTTTCTCCACGATATATACTAACTGATACAAGGCATTTTCAAATCGAAAAAATATTATCGTATCTTTTAGATAAGGGACAAAATAAATTTGGATGCAAACTCCGTTTTACCTTGGGAATATTGTTCCATTGCTCGCTGTCCCATTTCATTTATGGTGTTGTATCATCGTGAATATTTTAGTTTTGCGAAAAACATCTCTAACTTTTGTTTTCAGCATATCAAAGACGATTATACGCACTTTGAAACCCATCAAAATGTTTTACCGGAACCATCATTTGTCAGGAAAACCCAAGCATGAAGCAAGCCATGCTATAATCAACGTCAGGACGTGTTTTACGATTTCGGAGGAGAAAAGAGTCTGGCCTTTAAAGCGCAATTTATTTTTTTAGAACATATCATTTTCCATTTTTCTCCACGATATGGACTAACTGCAGGATACAAGGCATTTTCAAATCGAAAAATATTATCGTTTCTTTTAGACAGGGGACAAAAAAAAATTTGGATGCAAACTCCGTTTTAACCTGGCAATTACGTTTCATTGTTCGCTGTCCCATTTCGTTTATGGTGTTGTATCATCCTAAAAATTCTAGTTTTGCGAAAAACATCGCTAACTTTTGTTTTCAGCATATCAAAGTCGATTATACGCACTTTGAAACGCATCAAAATGTTTTACCAGAACCATCATATGTCAGGAAAACCCAAGCATGAAGCAAGCCATGCTTTAATCAACGTCAGGACGTGTTTCACGATTTCAGAAGAGAAAAGAATCGGGCCTTTCAAGCGCAATTTATTTTTTTAGAAAATGACATTTTCCATTTTTCTCCACGATATGGACTAACTGATACAAGGCATTTTCAAATCGAAATATATTATCGTCTCTTTTAGATAGGGGACAAAAAAAATTTGGAAGCAAACTCCGTTTTAACCTGGCAATAACGTTTCATTGTTCGCTGTCCCATTTTACTTATGATGCTGTATCATCCTAAATATTCTAGTTTTGCGAAAAACATCGCTAACTTTTGTTTTCAGCATATCCAAGACGATTATACGCACTTTGAAACGCATCAAAATGTTTTACCGGAACCATCATATGTCAGGAAAACCCAAGCATGAAGCAAGCCATGCTTTAATCAACGTCAGGACTTGTTTTACGACCTCGGAAGAGAAACGGGTCGGACCTTTCAAGCGCAATTTATTTTTTTAGAACATAATATTTTCCATTTTTCTCCACGATATGGACTAACTGCTAGACTACGCATAGTCTGTTTGCTTTATTTTGTTTTGCCGAAAGAAACAGACTATGAATCAGCGCAACTTTTCGTGTTCTGTGACGTAGCTACTATCCAGAATCTGGATAGTTCATTGTGATTGGTCGCCAGGTAATACAGGCGTTTCATTGGTTCGCCGTGGTTAATTTATGTTTATATTATAGTATAAATTTTTTTATATAATCGCAACATGGCGGCCGGCAAGTTTGGCGAAGATTCTTGGCGAAAAGCATTATCTTCTGTTGCGACTTTATTTAACATTGAAAGTTTGTATCCAGAACAAGAGGAAGCAATAAAAGCATTTTTTGAAAGAGATTTGAATCTTTTTGTTAGCTTGCCGACTGGAGCAGGGAAATCTCTAATATTTCAGAGTTTGACGGTCGTGTTTGACTCGTTGTTTGGTAACCCTCGAGGAACAAGCGTTCTTGTTGTCATATCACCACTTAAAGCGTTGATGAAAGACCAAGTGGAATATTTGCAGAATCTTGGTATACCATCTGTGGCTGTCGTTGACGAGTTATGTTCTGACCCAGACACCATTCAGCTAGTTAAAAATGGTGTTTATACAGTCGTTTATGGTTCCCCAGAATGCTTCCTGTCATCAGAGACGTGGAGAGATATATTTTCAGACACGGAGTTCACGTCGAAAGTTGTGGGAGTAGCTATTGATGAAGCTCATTGTATTGTTCAGTGGTAAGTGTAAAGTGTTATGTATTTATGTTTTTCGTGTGTACTTATCGTATGCAAAACAAACCCTGAATTACAAAAGTATATATCATTTAAAATAAGGGTTTGATACTAGCTTTTTCATTAGGGGCTTGTCTGCAGGAAACAAAAAAATCCCCTTCAGAAAGATGTGGATCAACTGTATACTGTTGAGCAGAACCCAAATAGAATGAATTTAATGTATATGCTCTCCTACATGGATAAGGAAAGTGGTCTTGAGGATGTCTTCAGGAAACTAATAACTGAACTTCAAAGACTTCAGTGCCAAACTGAAAGAACAATAATTTATTGTATGACAAGGAAACAATGTTCAGTATTGTTCCGCATGTTTGAAATCAATCTTGGTGCTAACATGTACAATGGTTCATGTTTACCTCAGAATCGGCTTGTGGAGATGTTCCATGCTGGCACACCACAGTCTGTGAAAGACCATGTTTTAGCAAATATGACAGCTATTGACAGTCACTTGCGTGTTTTAATAGCTACAATTGCTTTTGGCATGGGAGTGAATTGTAAAGAAATCAGACGTGTAATCCATTTTGGGCCATCAAAAAACTTAGAACAGTATGTTCAAGAGTCTGGAAGAGCTGGAGGGATGGGAAGAGCAGTACATGTACCATTCTCTATAATGGGTTGCTTGTAGCATACTGTGAATGTGACATGAAGGAATTCTTGCAGTCAGATACCTGCCGACGGCAAGAGTTAATGAGGAAGTTTAGCACACATGGTTGCACTGAAGTAAGCCCTGCTCACAATTGCTGTGATGTATGTGCTGCTAATTGCTATTGTAATGGTCTGGACTGTGGGCTGAGTTGGTGTTTGGTTTCTAAGGACGCTGATTTAGAAGATGATGATGGATTTGTGTATCCCAACTAATAGTAGTTTGCGCACTCGAAGTGTCTCTGATGAACATGGACGACCTGGCACAAAATTGTTGCAATTTAAAAACTATTGACCAACAGATTGGATGCAACAAAGTACGTTTCATGTCCTAATGTTTTAATGGAATTCAACAAATTCCATATTAAGCAAGTTTTAGACAACTGCCATCTACTATTTAGCTTGACCGATGTTCATGAACGGATTGAAATTTGGCGGAATCAGTATGCTTGTGTTATACTTAAAGTAATTGCAGAGGTTTTTTGATATTGAGTATGACATCCCAGGTGATTTAAGTGCTGGAAACACTTCTGTTTTTGATGAATCAATTAATTCTGCATGGAATGAACTCAGGAACGACTCTTCATTTAACCACATGTTTGATAGTGTTGATAACACAATTGCAGACACGACACTTGGTGACACTGAGATGTCTGAGATGGACTCAAACTATTCTGGTAACAGCGGCTTGTTTCAGAACTTACTTAACTAATTTAGAGTTGTATTTAGAATGATAAACCCTCAAATGAGAGCGTATGCCTCACTAAAATATAGTAAATTGTTCCAATGTTAAAATCATTGGATTTCAGCAGTGGTAGCCAGACAATTTGGTCATGCTATGCAAACATTCTCGTGTTCAAATACGTTTTAGACGTTTCTAAAGAGATAATAATGATTTGAAATTTGCATAGCATAATCAGGTTGTCAGGCCACCTTGCTACTGGACTCTTAGTGTAATCAAGTGTGCATGTAAACTAGGCTTAGAATATGTACAGTGCATGGAATATAACATAGAACCAAACTACAGTTTTAACCACAGCTATCTAGCTCTTCTATGTAAAACAAGGTTTTTCTTGTGTTCATTAATCCAGCTAAATAGCTTTTGCAAGTCTAAACCATGCAATAAACTTTGCTTCATGTTCTTAAAGTGGTGGTATTTTCTCCCGGGAGTAACATGAAATGCTCTCTCACTCAGCAGTTCTTTTACAACCTTTCGCAAATCATTATTTGACGAGGTAGTAATATGTTTGCCAGACCGTCTGTAAACAGAAAGTTCATGTTCGAACTGCCTCATCAACACATTTGTCACACCCATGGAATGTGAAATTCTGTTGAGTGATGATTTGGAAGCATTTGGCCCAAGATTCTTAACTGCTGCTTTCATGATTCGGTTGAAAAACTCAAGTTGGAGGTCAAGAGGTATGTTGCCACCAGGCCCATCTTTGTTCTTCACCGACCGGTTCCATATCAATCTGTGAGCTGCTTGTTGACTTAAAAGAGCATTAGCTTGGCACATAAGGTATAAACCCTCAAGCGAGTATTTTGCAGCTGATTGACCTTCTGTTCTTAAGTACAGTAGAAAAAACCGCCAGCATCTCATGATACGCTCACCATCCCCTTCAGAAATGGCATCCCAAAAGTTCAAGATGAGCATGCCATACTCCAGTAATGCTTTCTGATAGGAAAACATGTCATCTTGGTCTTCATCGGATGTGGTATCCACAGTTACTGACTGCTTCACCTCCTCCAATATAGGTGGATCATGTTTCGCCTCGTGGTCCTTCATTCTCTTGCCATATTGCGCAAATGTTTTTGAACAACCTTCATATCTACATCGGTATCTATTATTGTCATCCAGTGACAACTCTTTAGCTTTCTCGCAAAGATCGATGTTATCCATACACTGGAGGATTCTTTCATTCTTTCTTCCATCAATGATAAATTCATCAACAACCTACAGTATATAGGAATTATAATATCAGACTTCTGTTTCCTCTCATTTGTGTACTATATCATCCTAGCCTGCACACAGTTAGATACTGTACCTACTGATTGCGTGCCGTGTCACGTTCTTCCTTTTTAATTTCTTACTTTTTGCATGCAACTTGCAAGATGATTTTTCAGTTGATTTTTCTTGGCATAGCACACCCAGGGGGCTTTTCTACAGGCATGACTACTAGCATATAATAGGAAAATAATTAAGTTTACCTTTGCAGAGATGGATTTGAGATAATTCGTCTTCTCAACTTTCGAGGAATTATCGCCAGAGAAGGACAAATCCTTGGCAGGTTCGTCTTCTAATTTATCCATTTTCAACACTGTCAACCCAGCAGCAATGACACGAGCTTTTACCTCCAAGGTAAAAAACTGTCGGCAAGGATTTGCAGCAGAAGATACTTCACTTTTCACATTTCGTCGGTTGATTAAAGTACGGTCAGCATACATTGTGCACTTGTCAAAATTTGATGATGGGCTGTACAGGTTCTGGAATGCTAACTGTAAAAAATGTACATAACATAATATAAACATACACATAGTTAAAGGTTTAGTTTAAATTTTAGCCTGATTTTGATTTATGTCAGTTATATAGGTTTAGATCATAGGTTTTCATCATGACTAAATTAAGTCGAAACATTAATGAAATAAAAATGCTTACTTTATTCAGAGTTACCATTGTTGTGTATTTTATGAAAATACTCAGTGGTTCCTACAACTAAAAGATTTCCTGGCAGTATGCTGCCACACTACGCAACTCTCCCTGGAAGTCTTGTTAAAAAAATAATACTATATATTCATATATACTGTACCTGTAAGAATCTATTACCAGAATGCCAATCTGCTATCTCAGGATGAAGGCCATTGCACTGTTCCTTTTCTGTAAATCCATTTGCCAGAGAGCAATGTGCGTTGACAAATCTTTCCACGGTAAGCTGGTCTCCAACAATCCCCTGTTCACCATACTTTCCATCAGTTTCATCATCATTCAGACCGTGGGGCACGTACTGATGCAATTCTTTGATGACGTTAGTGATACCATCTGCATCATTTTCGTTCTCATAAATGAGACCCATAAATGTCTAGAGGTACGTTCATAACACATAAAGTTAAACTGACATTTATGGTACACATAACAATACCTATATATTATGGATGGATAAGTATAGGTTTAAAGTATTATGTTCTGCCAGCTGAAAATCAAAATAGACAGAAAAAAATTTCCTTACAGTATCTGTCTTCTTTGCCATCTCTGAGCTGTATTTATGTTGAATATGGGACGTGACAACATCAGCAAGGAATTTCAGACATGGTATACTATCCACAAGTATGCGACCAACCAAGGTGATAAAATTCGACCTATGCAGTTGATGGTCACCATCACTTGGTATGAATGTCCCATTCTCAAGCTTCATAATTGCAGGACCATTCTTCTCATCACTGAACTCTATGCCTCCAACACGATTTTCTGTTGACATCACAGAAACAAGGTGAACATCAATGTTCTGGTGCTGTTCTGTCATATGGTGTACATTCTGCCGGTAGTCAAAGTTGTCAATGGTTATCTTTCGTCCAATGTCGCATGATAGCTGTGTATCTGCTTCATTCTCTCTAATGAACTGACACTGGTTGTCAACAGCTTTTAAAATCTTGTCACGATACCCAGATCCATATTCATCCAGCTTCTTGTAAAGATATGAATGCGATGTCATAATTCGTAGTGTAGCCAGCCGTGCAAGAGTAGCCTAAAGTATTATAATATAAGATTACAAATGGAAAGTATCAGCAAAGAACTTATTGTGTATACACAAATTTAATTTTGTAGTGCTATCCTGCAAGCACATGATGTTATGTACACAGATTAAAATTGCAAACTAAGGTGCATTAGGCAGCATATTGCACGTTGATCACCTTAGTAGTGTTATCAGTATGTTAGATTTTTATTATCAATTGCACACATATATTATGTAAGCATGTTCCCTCGACTTTACCCTAAAATTCATAAACATAACCATTGAAATAAATAAACGTTGTTTCTACATACCTGCCACCCTGAGTGATAATTGAATATTGTAATCAGTAGCTGTAATGCATTCATATACTTTGACCTATTTTTCAAGCAAATTGCTGCAGCCATACCAACAGCAGGCGACCAGAAATCTTCTCCTAGGCGTGCATTCTTCTTGGATCTACTTCGAGTGTTCACAGAAGCGGCTACTAGCACAGAGAATGCCAATGGTGCTCTTTCCTTCAATTCTTTGTTGAGGCCTTCGATTGAAAATTTCAACATATCTTCTTTGGTTGGGCTTCTTAGGCAACTGGGATTTTTCTTCGAACAAAGATTTGTACACTCTCGATCCACTTCTTTTAAAACTAACAGTTGGAGTTGTTTCTTTAGGCTGGCACTCTTCCACGCTGCGCGAGCTATCTGCTTATATGTTCCTCGCACAAGCATTTTCCCCAGAGATTCGAGATCCTTTGACAGTTTTCTTTCGTATTTTTTACTTGGCCATTCAACTCTCACAGACACAGTGGTGGATTCGGGATCTTTTCGAGGATGAATTGGTGACACAGGCCATTGCGGATTGGCGTTCATAATTGCTGGCCTAGTTGCTTGGCGTATAGGTGAACTACAAAACGGTTCAGTCCTCGGTTCAGTCTGCGATTCTGTCCTATGCAAACGTTCTCCTTCGTTGCACGATGTACCTTCACACCAACACCATCAGTTTCCAAAAAAATCTCACTTGCCTCTTTAGCGAAGAACTCGACGAAGGAAGTTTAGTATGATTTTGCATAGAATGCATCGATTGACTCGATTTGTTCGAGAAGGTTTCTTCGTTTCTTTAGCTTTTTCACGCAGAACGCGCAGACAAAATCACTTACTCTTTCTACTTGGACAGGTAAACTTTCAAGTTCAGGAATGATCTTAAAAGCCCCCTTGCCTTCGACGCGATGTTTTTCAGTAATTTTGACAATAACAAGCAGACATAATATACATATGTCCGACATGTTTTGATCATCTACATAATTTTCGCTTCTCCACGCCCCCTAAACGTCATGCTATAATAGTCATTTAATCTGCATAATTTTGGCGTTCGAATAAATTATAGAACACGTTAAGTGTCGCTGCTGCACAGACACTTATGAGCGCCCTCATTTTGAAATTCGAGCCCCCTTCGATCTCACCTTTTGTCGGTGGACCACCAGCGTCTGTGACGCAGGCTGACTAACTGCAGGATACAAGGCATTTTCAAATCGAAAAATATTATCGTCTCTTTTAGATGGGGGACAAAAAAATTTCGGATGCAAACTCCGTTTTATCCCGGCAATAATGTTTCATTGTTCGCTGTCCCATTTCATTTATGGTGTTGTATCATGCTAAATATTCTAGTTTTACGAAAAACATAGCTAACTTTTGCTTTCAGCATATCCAAGTCGATTATACGAACTTTGAAACGCATCAAAATGTTTTACCGGAACCATCATATGTCAGGAAAACCTAAGCATGAAGCAAGCCATGCTTTAATCAACGTCAGGACGTGTTTTACGATTTCGGAGGAGAAAAGAGTCGGGCCTTTAAAGCGCAATTTATTTTTTTAGAACATAATATTTTCCATTTTTCTCCACGATTTTTATCGTCTCTTTTAGATAGGGGACAAAAAAAATTTGGATGCAAACTCCGTTTTAACCTGGCAATAACGTTTCATTGTTCGCTGTCCCATTTCATTTATGGTGCTGTATCATCCTAAATATTCAAGTTTTGCTAAAAACATCTGTAACTTTTGTTTTCAGCATATCAAAGTCGATTATACGAACTTTGAAACAAATCAAAATGTTTTACCGGAACCATCATATGTCAGGAAAACCTAAGCATTAAGAAAGCAATGCTTTAATCAACGTCAGGACGTGTTTTACGACCTCGGAAGAGAAAAGGGTCGGACCTTTCAAGCGCAATTTATTTTTTTAGAACATAATATTTTCCATTTTTCTCCACGATATTGACTAGCTGATACAAGGCATTTACAAATCGAAAAATATTATCGTTTCTTTTAGATAGGGGACAAAAAAAATTTGGATGCAAACTCCGTTTTATCCCGGCAAAAGTGTTTCATTGTTCGCTGTCCCATTTCATTTATGGTGTTGTATCATCCTAAATATTCTAGTTTTGCGAAAAACATCGCTAACTTTTGTTTTCAGCATATAAAAGACGATTATACGCACTTTGAAACGCATCAAAATGTTTTACCGAAACCATCATATGTCAAAAAAACCCAAGCATGAAGCAAGCCATGCTTTAAGCAACGTCAACACGTATTTTAGGATTTCGGAGGAGAAAAGAGTCGGGCCTTTAAAGCCCAATTTATTTTTTCAAGAACATAATATTTTCCATTTTTCTCCACGATATGGACTAACTGATGCAAGGCATTTACAAATCGAAAAATATTATCGTCTCTTTTAGATAGGGGACAAAAAAAATTTGGATGCAAACTCCGTTTTATCCCGGCAATAATGTTTCATTGTTCGCTGTCCCATTTCATTTATGGTGATTATGTGATTATTATGTGATTATTATTAAAATACTTGAATGGCAGTTCAAAAACGAACTGAAAAACACAAGTTTACAAGTATCAGAAATAAGACTATTTACATATTTACAGTGATAAAATACTCAGAAATACAATTACTAACATGTTAATACCATAACTACAAAAAGATATGCTAACATTAGGTTCTAAAATATTAAAATATTAAAATGAGTTCCATTTACGTATGCAATACGGCAAAAAGCTATCATTATAGCGTTTCGTTCGACATTTAAAAAGAGAGATCGATCGAGGATGTCTGAGATCGTACTCATGGGTTAAAAGTTTGGGTAATAGACTAGAAATTTTACCCGAAGGGTCATTATAATTATTTTTATAAAAGGTTCTGCATAACCGTTCCCTTCTCGCTTCTAAGGTAGGTAAATTCAGGTCTTTAAGGCTTTCGGTGTAGGACAAATGGGGAAAAATAATTTTGAACGCACGTTGCTGAAAATGTTCCAATTCAACGGTGAGGAAATTAGGTAGTGAGGTATGCCAAACTGGACATGCATATTCCAGGACAGGTCTGATGAAACTACAATATACCGCCTTAAGATCACTAGGTTGGACACCATTTCTTCTTAATAGCCTTAAGGCATACAGGCGTTTGCTTGCTTTAGAGGATATGTGCCTGATGTGTTGTATCATCCTAAATATTCTTGTTTTGCGAAAAAAATCGCTAACTTTTGTTTTCAGCATATTAAAGACGATTATACGCACTTTGAAATGCATCGAAATGTTTTACCGGAACCATCATATCTCAGGAAAACTCAAGCATAAAGCAAGCCATGCTTTAATCAACGTCAGGACGTGTTTTACGATTTCAGAAGAGAAAGGAGTCGGGCCTTTCAAGCGTAATTTGTTTTTTTAAGAATATAATATTTTCCAATTTTCTCCACGATATGGACCGTATGTTTTAGAAAGAGGACAAAAAAAATTTAGATGCAAACTCCGTTTTACCTTGGCAATAATGTTTCCTTGTTCGCTGTCCCATTTCATTTATGGTGTTGTATCAAGCTAAATATTCTATAGTTTTGCGAAAAACATCTCTAACTTTTGTTTTCAGCATATGAAAGACAATTATACGCACTTTAAAACGCATCAAAATGTTTTACTGAAACCAACATATGTCAGGAAAGCCCAAGCATGAAGCAAGCTATGCTTTAATCAACGTCAGGATGTGTTTCACGATTTCGAAAGAGAAAAGAATCGGGCCTTTCAAGCGCAATTTATTTTTTTAGAACATAATATTTTCCATTTTTCTCTAGGATATGGACTAACTGATGCAAGGCATTTTCAAATCGAAAAATGTTATCGTCTCTTTTAGATAGGGGAAAAAACAAATTTGGATGCAACTCCGTTTCCCGGAAATAATGTTTCATTGTTCGCTGTCCCATTTCATTTATGGTGTTGTATCATCCCAAATATTCTAGTTTTGCGAAAAACATCGCTAACTTTTTTTCAGCATATCAAAGTCGAGTATACGCACTTTGAAACGCATCAAAATGTTTACCGGAACCATCATATCAGGAAAACCGCCAAGCATGAAGCAAGCCATTCTTTAATCAACGTCAGGAAGTGTTTTACGATTTCGGAAGAGAAAAGAGTCGGGCCTTTAAAGCGCCATTTATTTTTTAGAACATAATATTTTTCATTTTTCTCCACGATATGGACTAACTGATACAGGGCATTTTCAAATCGAAAAATATTATCGTCTCTTTTAGATACGGGACAAAAAAAATTTGGATGCAAACCCCGTTTTAACCGGTTAAAAACGTTTCATTGTTCGTTGTCCCATTTCATTTATGGTGTTGTATCATCCTAAATATTCTAGTTTTGCAAAAAACATCTCTAACTTTTGTTTTCAGCATATCAAAGACGATTATACGCACTTTGAAACGCATCAAAATGTTTTACCGGAACCATCATATGTCAGAAAAACCCAAGCATGAAGGCAAGCCATGCTTTAATCAACGTCAGGACGTGTTTACGATTTCGGAGGAGAAAAAGAGTCGGGCCTTTAAATCGCAATTTATTTTTTTAGAACATAATATTTTCCATTTTTCCCAGGATATGGACTAACTGATACATGATATTTTCAAATCGAAAAATATTATCGTATCTTTTAAATAGGGGACGAAAAAAAAATTTGGATGCAAACTCCGTTTTTTCCCGGCAATAATGTTTCATTGTTCGCTGTCCCATTTCATTTATAGTGTTGTACCATCGTGAATATTCTAGTTTGCGAAAAAAATCTCTAACTTTTGTTTTCAGCATATGAAAGACGACTATACGCACTTTAAAACTCATCAAAATGTTTACCGGAACCATCATATGTCAGGAAAGCCAAGGCATGAAGCAAGCCATGCTTTAATCAACGTCAGGACGTGTTTCACGATTTCGGAAGAGAAAAGAGTTGGGACTTTCAAGTGTAATTTATTTTTTTAGAACATAATATTTTCCATTTTTCTGCACGATATGGACTAACTGATACAAGGCATTTTTAAATCGAAAAATATTATCGTCTATAGATAGGGGACAAAAAAAAATTTGGATGCAAACTCCGTTTTATCCGGGCAATAATGATGTTTCATTGTTTGCTGTCCCATTTCATTTATGGTGTTGTATCATCCTAAATATTCTAGTTTTGCGAAAAATAATCGCTAACTTTTTTTTTCAGCATATCAAAGTCGAGTATACGCACTTTCAAACGCATCAAAATGTTTTACCGGAACCATCATATGTCAGGAAAACCCAAGTATGAAGCAAGCCATGCTTTAATCAACGTCAGGACGTGTTTCACGATTTCGGAAGAGAAAAGAGTCGGGCCTTTCAAGCGCAATTTTTTTTTTGGAACATAATATTTTCCATTTTTCTCCAGGATATGGACTAACTGATACAAGGCATTTTCAAATCGAAAAATATTATCGTCTCTTTTAGATAGGAGACAAAAAAAATTTGGATGCAACTCCGTTTTATCCCGGCAATAATGTTTCATTGTTCACTGTCCCAT